CCTATGTAGCTCTGTAACTTTCCTTTATTTCGATATCAAATGTTAACGTTGTTCTTCTATCTATTTGACGTTTATTGACGTTCGTAATCAGGAATAGTCATTTTCATCCGTCTGTGAAACAATTACTACAAGTCAGTGTTTTTATAGTAACTATTAGGGTGTAGTAGGCTACCAAAAGGCAAAATCAAAACCGGTTTTTGCCTAATTATTTTGTCGCATGTTATACGTTAAACTATTGGGAGCTAATAGGGGGTAATAGTATTTAATAGTACAATTCCTATTGCACAGACGGATGAAAATGACTCTAACTGTTCTTGATTGTAAAGAAATCATTGTTACATATCCCAAACTGATTTTAATACTTCTAATTGCAGGTACAGCCATACAATGTCAAAAATGGTCGATTTTCTTATGCTTACGACTGTGTTGGGTTCTTTTCTGTTCCAATTCTTATGGGTTTGTTTGTGATTGGTATACTTCTTATGATACTGTTTTTTGGTATCATGGCTGTGTTTAGTATTACTACAATGGATAGGTTTGATGATCCCAAGGGATCTCTCAGGTCATTTGGTACTACGACTGGCTAATGGTGCACTAGAATGCTATTGTTTTATTTCAATTTATTGTACTTGTGTTAGCAAATTTTTGAAATTACAAGATATGGTTGTGTTCCTTTAATTAAGATGAATTTATCGCGCAAAAACTGCTATTACAATGAGAGCTATGTTACGTTATAGTGCTGATATTAAGGCAGATTTTGCATATGTGTAAAATGGAACATGCCAGAGCTGTACAATATAAATGTACGTCACGAAAACACCTGACGTTTGCCTTAAACGTTCCGTGACAATATCATTTGCACACTCATAAACTTCTTACTTTTAAGATAGTGTAATATTCATAATATGTACCAAAACATGAGGTACATAGTATAGTCTTAATGATGGAATCTCAGTCTTCTTCATGACTAATATAGACCTTTGAAGCTTTTACGTCACCTACTTAATTTGCAGTGCATTGTGGGATTAGTTCTCATAGAAAACAAAAGAAATTCGCCATGTTTTGACCCAAATATATCCTACATTGCATTGCTTATACGGTATATGACGTGCAAGATTCAGATTTCTATTTTTTGTTTTTGTTTTTCTTAAAATAAGACTGGATCCGGTACTTGACGTAACTCTTGTATTTGTCCAGTCAATTTTATTTCAACTTTAACACAACAATACTAATATGAGGAATAATTGCTAAATGTAGTTATGCAGCACGTACTTTGTGAACCTGATCACTAGAATCGAATGTCAAGAAATCGAAGCATTTTCACCAGGGTTGAATGCCATATTGGTCAATAAGCATTGATCAGGAATAGACCCTAAAATCAATTCATTTAGAAGTGTTGAGTCTTTTTTTTTTTAAATTGTGACTCAATCTTGGTATCTCAGATAGGGGGTAGAAAAATCGTCTGCTTGTAGGGTAGATGAAACTACATGTGGTGTGGGAATGGTGGTAGTGATATCATCATTGTGTAAGTATAGTAGTGTATCGATTTCAAACTTGAAATAACGCTTGGGGATGTTACAATAATTAGTAATGGATATCAAAATTAATATTTACAAGTAAACTAGTTTCCATGTAATCGTCTGAATTGCACAAAAACGAGTTTTAGCTTTGTTCTAGTTTCCTGAAGGCAAATAGCATGAAAGCAAATCCCATTTAAGGGCGCTTAATTGAGACGATTATATTGACACTGGGCCTATTATGATGAAATCCTGTTATATTGATTTACTTACATAATAAAATGGAATGTTAAATTGGTTAGTGGTTGTTCCTTGAGTGTTGAATTCTATTATCTTTCAGTAAAAGCGTGAAATACTAATTACTAAATCGCGCAAAATGATGCTTGTTGAACAACTCGCAAAGTTTGGTATTTGATCGATTTACAGCTTTCAAAATGCTAGAATTTTTGAAGAAATGTAAAGAATGCCTTCGGATTTTTCCAAATTCCCGGCATACATTTCTTTGTAAAGACTAGAATTGAAAAGCTGTCGATCGTTTACATTTGATCTGATTAAAACCAAACTTTGTGAGTATCTTCCTTTCATATAAGTCTTATTTCACCATCGTGCGAATTGAGGGATTGCACCTAGCCTTCCACGGTATCAAATCTAATAAACAGCAGATTTTGTACCGATTTTGTACCGTATGTTTTTACTAAAGGATAATAGTTATCTTTTGTTATGACTTAATCCAATTATTTTTTTAAATTGCTATCATAAAATTTGTTTAAGAGCCGCTTCGCGCAAAAATCAGCCAAAACAGAAATTTTTTGGCAAGCTCAAAAAATCAAATCTATTCATATTTTGTATATTGATAAGGTATGATTAGGTAACAATCGTTGTGTAATTGTTTTTTGAAAATATTTCATTTTTCGCAAGAAAATCGCTAATTAATGTCACATACTGGACCTTTGCGTGACAGATTTCCTTAATTAAAAGGAAAATTTTCTGGAACTCGAAATATTCGCATATGTATTTTTATATGCAAATTGGTACCTTAACAAAACGATCATTTTTTAAACGTGCAAGTATTTTGTTTGCAATAAAATTTGGATTGATTACTAAACAAGAGATGAGCTTTTCAAATACATAAAAATTAGTCTGGGCAAATCACTCCCAGTTGCATAGAAATTAATACTTCTGGCGATATTAATAATCCGTTGAAACCGACAAATGTTTTGAACAACCGAAATTCATTTACACTGCATAAAATGTTCAAAGAAAATAAACTTAACGCTTTTTATTTCAATAACATACATTTAATGTTGATTAGATGTTTATATGCTTTGAAAATTGTTGGGTTAATACAACTGACAAAATATGTGTTTACGCTGATAATTGTGACTAGAATAAGTCACTCCTACGCACCTGAAGGTGATTTGCCCAGACTTATTATTATTTCTTTGTAAAGCTCATACCTTGCTTTTATTACGCCGAATTTCATTGCAAACAAAATACTTGCACATAGAAAAAATTATCTTTTTTTCTAGGTACAAATTTGCATATACAACTACATATGTAAACACTTCGAGTTCTAGAAAGTTTTCTTTTTAATTAAATGCTCTGAAAATCAACGAAATACATAAGAAAGAGTTACTTAGAAAGCCACAATTTAAATTTTTGAAATTACTATTTTACATTTCACACAAGCTCGGTAGAAMGTTTGGCTATTTCRAGWGCTATTTTTAGCCATCAAACATTTGTCACGCAAAGGCCCAGTATGTGACATTGTTTAGCGATTTTCTTGCGAAAAATGAAATATTTTCAAAAACCAATCACATAGCGATTGTTACCTAATCATACCTTATCAATATACAAAATATGAATAGATTTGATTGTTCGAGCCTTGCCAAGATATGTCTGATTTTTGTGGCTCTGACTGTAGGCTCAGTCTCCAGCCGTCGGGATTTCGTGCGCCCGCGATACTCTCTCGTCAGGGGAGAGAGTATCGCGGGCGCACGAAATCCCGACGGCTGGAGACTGAGCCTACTCTGACTGTGGCCCATCCCACTTTATATTCTCGTACCCAGACTCATTTCATCTTTTTACCACTTTATAAAGCTATAGGGGAGACTAAGTCCGCTCGCTTCCGCCTTTAGAACGGAAAACAATATGGGAGATCGTAATTATGATCCAGAGCAACTAAATTACAATCTTTTCATATTTCGAGCCAAAAAATGCATAAGAGATTTCTTGGAAGCAGGAAATGTCGATCTAGACCGTTTAAAAGAGATTTTCTATAATCTTAATGCCGAATCACCGACATTAAACCAGCAGATAAATCAGGCTACAACAGTTGAGAAGATCGTGCAGATCCTGGAGGATCACAGGATCATCAATATCAATGATGTATCACTTTTAGGAAGATTAGCGGAGGAATTAAATCTGGAGGACTTACAAAAAGCAGTTGACAACTATGATTGGTATCATTCTCAAGGTATTATTGAAATGCATAGTTTATACAAGTAATTGAAACATTGTTGTTTATTATTATTGCTGTTTCTTGAATCTCTTGGAAAAGCATTTGAAAGTTAATTTTGTGAATGCACACACACACCGTATATGATAAGTTGAAGTATCATTTCAATTTAGCAGTTCAGATGAGAGATGGTGGGATATTTTGATTCGGATACGGCTTGTAATCGCGTTGTATGTACCTCACAGCGAGTAACCATGCATAACAAATCAAAGAGCTCAAAGACGAAATAACACTTCAGCCCTACTTCTCGTTATATGGCAGAATTTTAGACTACCTGAAACAGGTTGAGAAATATTATATCCGTGATAGGAGTATTTTAGAGTACTTGAGACAGGTGAACCAAAATGATTACCGCACTTTTGGGACCTAGAAGAGAACAAGTAGTAGTAGACTAAAAGTAATGCAGAGTAAGGGACTTTACAAATAATGCAGTACAGCATTCGTTTTCTATTAGAGTGGTTTTCATAAACTCGTGAAACAAAGTGTAATAATTAGAGTGTAATAGATCGTAATAGTCGCGTAGAGACAATGAAAAACAAAAGAGCCAAAGTGTAATAGCGATAAATAGTACGCTAAAAAGTGTGTTTCACGGGTTAATAAAAACCTGCTCTACCTACTTTAGACTATTTAGTTATTAATGCAAATAGAGCGATTTCGGATAATGTCAGTCAGTCACATAAACTGAACTAAGCCAAAGAAAGAAAACTATGAATCGCAAGATCAAAGCCCGAAAATTAAAGAAAGTACTATCGAAATAGCCAGTACAATAGCACGTAGAACACGTGCATCAAGAGATGTGAACGACTCTGCAACGTTGTTCGGAGGTGGTATATCCAAATGGGTCCCTATGCAAAAGGTAGAGAGACGTCAGAGTGAGAGTTGACCATGAATTGATGAATTGAGGGATCAATTCAGCTGTTTTCTTGATGAGTGTCGAGTATGATGATATCATTGGACTCGGAACAACCAGATCAGTTGGAAAAATTGAGTGAGCAAATTGATGTTGATGGTTCGAATCCAGTTAAGTTACCGCCTCGCCCAGTTCCTCCACTGAAAAAACATAATTGATCAACACATTGACCGATGATCTCAAAAGAATATAGAACCCTACCTTTAGCTCTAGTGAAGAAAAGTGACAAAACCTACCGAATGTGTGCTCAACTGCCGGGCTGTAAATCAAAGTACAGTGACGGATGCACACAAGGCCCTTCGTCGGACAGGTGAAGTATAAGAAGTGACGGTCGGACCAGGCGTCGGGTTACTGGCAAATGAGACTAGCTGAACAGGACAACATGCATTTGTAACACGGACAATTCCAATGGGCAGTCCTACCATTGCTAAAAATGGCACACAGCCAGTTTCTAGCGACTTATGAAACTGGTGCTGAATGGGCTAACCTGTATTGCTTAGAATATAAAGACGATATAATTTGACCCAAGTCTTATGAGGAACATCTGTGTCGCTTATGACTCGTTTTTGACCGGATTCAAGCTTAAGCCTGCCAAGTGTCAATTTCACATGACTTAATACAGGAATGCTTATCCTCGATATGGACGCTAGTACACCAACTGGGAATAGCCGATTATGGCGTCATTTATTACAACTACCAGAATGCTTTGGCAACTTTATTTTGTAATGAAATTAGTGCCAATTGTTTTATTAATCTCCAAGGGGATTAAAAATCTGAATAACAATGAAAATGCGCAAGGCTCTCTGGTAGTTGTAGTAAAGTTACGCCATCATGGAAATGGCCTATTGGAGATGGTTAAATCATATGTAGGCCACTCGCTACTATCTACTTGGCATCATAGTCAGCCTCGTGTGAAACTGACTGAAATCAGAAACCTATAAGGGACGTGAAACGTGTATCGCCCATACATCTCTCTAGTACCAAGCGTCGGAATACTCAAAGCTCATTAAAAAATCGAACACGAACGTTATGACCATATTTGGAAAATTCGGCCGTTGGATAAGAGTTAAGGCCCATTATGGTTGGCTATAGGATATAGGTTAAATTTAATTGTTCCAAATAAGGTCATGAGGAAACGAGTTGCAAATTAGTTTTGAATATTCAAATAATATATATTCCAACGGTTGGCACGGCGTTACACGTTTCAAGGCCATTATAGGTTTTTCTTTCTTTTTTTTTGTTTGCTTGCGTTAGTTGATAGCCTTCAAACAAGCTGAAGGACAGGTAGCCATCCCACTAGGGTAAAGAGTTTCAAGAATACGATATTGAAGTAGAACACCATTCTGAGTACGCTGATACTATTTGTCGAAAAAGCCTCGACGCCAACATGGATATTACTTTGGGGTGCATGTGATCTACAGAATGAAAGGAAGTGTATGGCCAAAGGTGATCTGAACAAAGTTTGTGGGCAGCGAAGCCTCAGAAGGAGGATCCGGATTTTTTCGATTTTTCTTCAGGGAGGATGGAAAGGGGCTTTCGTTAAAAGTACTGGTGCAGTGTTTCTACCGCGAGGATCAATTAGACCAGCATTGAACACAAAAATGTTTGGACTGCTGCCACGGTCCAAGAGGGAGCTGGTAACAGATATCTGATATTACGAAACATTGTCATTTATTTTGAATCTTTCAAAAAGCAGCTTTTGACGAAAAATGATTTTTAAAACAAAGCAAACTGTCAAAGATGCGGTTACACCTAGTTAGTGAGACCTTGGCTAGGCTCGATGAGCTTTAGATAGAGCAATTTTGTTTAATCTGTGAAAGAAAAACTAAATAGTTCCTAAACAATTGTTCTTAACAATTAGTCACTATTTTGTACTTTTTTTTACCTTTTTTTACTTTTGTACTATTTTGTACTTTTTTGTATGTTTTTTAAATAGATAATAGCACTCAAGTGAATCAACTTATAATTCAATACTCAGGATCAGGCATTAAATACACGAGAATCAAGTTATTTCATTTATCTTATTGTTATCACAGTGCAAATGAAATAAAGAATAAATGACTTAGTTTGATTCTTGTCTATTTATGTCTCCTGGGTGTTGCACTATAAGTTGATTCGCTTGAGTGCTATCATTTATGAGTACAAAATAGTGACTAATTGTTAAGAACTATTTAGTTTTCATTTCACGGATTAAATAAAATTGCTCTATACCTGAGAAAGATCATTTAACGTTATATAAATTATCTATTTAATGTTTGCTTATTATACTGTTATCATTAGAAGATATACAAAATTTATAACAGCTAGTATGTTTATAATAATGCTCTACCCTGTTAGTCGGTTAAACGGAATTTATACAAACTAAATTAAAATTTTCAGAATTTAGTGACCCCACCCCTCAATGATATGAATAACACTGAGAATGAACGATTTAGAATAAAAAAGAAAACAGATTATTTATTCGAAAATACTTACATTAAGATATTTTTGGTTTTCTTATTTTTTCAGGTATAAGGAGGATAGGTGAGTACTCATGTGATACGACATGAATCGATTACTACACTACGATAGCCGAGATTGATCATCAAAATCAAAATTCCAAATATTCACAAAAAACAAAAAGCAAAACACAAAATCATTTTCCCGAAATACAAATTCAAAACTGACATTTGACAAACTCAACTTCTTTTCGCTGCACGCCATTTTGCTAAGAAAGAGATCAACCACAAGGCGTTCCTTGTCGTACTGTGAATAGAAAAAAATCGTTCAGAATCATGCAATATTCCACAAAATCCCAAACTTGCTCCGGAAGTCGATTTACATTTTGACTGGTAAATATCGGTATGAATTGTTTATCAAGTCTCTCAACAAACTCTATTACGGCGACTACTATCGCCTACAAATTCACTCAGAGGGACAACCACTTTACAATGTGTCGAAGTAATTATTTACTCAATTTCGTCTGGGTGGTATGTAGGGCCTCTACTAAGAATTTCCACAGCTCCCTATCCTTTGCTAGATGTTGCAACTCCTCCATAGACTTTACAAGTTCTTTTTCCTTCTTTAAAATAGTTCTTCGCCATGTCGCTTTAGGTATCCCTCTTCGTCTTTTCCCACTATCGGGGGTCCATGTTGTTGAAACTCTGGTGATGTCATTTAGGTGTTTTCTTGAGACATGCCCTAACCACTTCCACCTGCGTCTCTTGATTGTTGTCAGTATATTGTTCTGCTTAGTTCTTTCTATTAGTTTTTGGCTGGAAAAACTATCATTCAATCACTGATCATTACTGCGCAAAAGTGACTCAATAACATTTATTAGCTATATACACCTACTTGCGAAAACCTTGTCATAAAAAAATAGGACATTTGTATTTTAGTAAAAAGGAATAGATTAAAAAGACAAAAGAAGATTACTGAGGCTGAACGCTTTCTTTTGTTTTGTTTAAATTTATTCCTTTTTACTAAATTCAAATGTTCTGTTTTCTATGACAACGTTTCTGCAAGTAGGTGTATCGTATAATATTATCTTTTATCTTTCATTCTTATTTTAGCTCTCCGTTTGAAAGCCGTTTTGTCTAACAGATCTGTACAAAGATTAGCTGGTACTGCAATACTCGTCGCTCTATATAGTGAGAGAAGAGAATTATGGGAAGCCATTGGGGAAACTTTACCAGAGGCAGTAAGACTCACAGGAGTGATGGAAGGCTCTATTGCATTTGTTGTGGAGTCATCAAGTTTGTCAGCATTAAGAGAACTGTGGTCAAGCTATAAGGATGGGTCACTTCAAGAAAACATCAGAAAAGCTCTGAATGACACCAAAGAAGTCAGAGAAGTATTTGATGGAGAGGAGTTTGACGTGGAAGTCACCATTGATGAGGATGAATACAGGGATGCATGCTGGAACGCCGTTCTCGTGCAAATGGCGGGTAAAATGATGAATTATTTAACCTTCTAGTAATATGCTTTCTAACTAAGAAGGAATCCACTTCTCAAGAATCATTTCATTATCGATCTCGCGTATTCTTATCTCTATTTATAAAATAACTTTCATATTACGCGCGCTATGATTGGCCAAAAAGCCGTGTTTTCGGCCCGAGGTCTTGAATTTCAATGAAAACCCTCGCCCTAGTGTTTGAACCTTTATATAACTTGTTGGATTTAGCTTGTAGTAAACATGTTACAACTCTATTGGGAATACATAGCGTATTGTTCGAAGCATTCTTGAACGATTAGAGTCCCATTGCGTGTTTAAGGAGCTATAGGTCTCTGATAAACAACATCTCATTAAAGAGACTGTCAAATAGAATTATTTCAACTAGACGCATAGCTGCGTGAACTCGGGGTTCTGCTTGAATATATCATAAAGCGATGAAGTGACAACAATGTGTGAGTGTTGTAGTCGAAGAATTGAGAAGAATTGSACTATATTGAACCTTAATAAAGTTAATAGTCATACTATCAAAAGGCGTAAAGCAAAAAATACTTCCTGGAATAAAAATTAATAAAAAAACAGTGTACTCAGCATAAATATCATGAAAAAATTGATCATCAGCAAGCCGGTCTTTGATAGTCACATGACAGGCTGTAAACACAGAGTCTTTTATCTCCTCCGCTCTTCCATTCGTCGGCTTTTCCTCAGAAGAATCTGTTCGCATTCCTTAGACGAGACCTTAGTAGTTTCAGAGCCTGCATAAGTTCGTATATAGTTCGCTTGTGCTAAGATAGGTAGCTTGTTTGATAGACAATTCTCGATAGACAGTAAGATAAATTCTCGATAAATTTACGTTATCTTCTGAAATTCATTTTTCGGAAAAACGCTGGTCATATTTTAGTGTGGCTATGCCACGAAAGTGTGCATATTTTTAAGTGATTTGAGCGTATTTGTAGACGTTGAATTTCTGTCTTCAAGTGTCTTCTTCCACCTCGCGTGTAATACTATTACAGTCGCTCATCGGTTTGCACATGAAGTCATCAGTCGAAAAAAATTCTAAAATCACAGACACACAACATTAAAGTACTAAAATACCTTGAAGAACACAATAGAAGTTCTCTCTGAAAGTTTCAACTATTTTTGCTGTTTATTCGTTGAGTTATTAACGTTCAAAAATATGTCACGCAATACTGTCAAGCTACTTGAAACACGCCAAATTAACCTCGGAAAGCCTATAAATCTTAAAACAACTATAGTCTCAGCATTAAATTAAATTTTTAGAATGATATTGTTAGAAAACTGAAGCAAAATCATTACTTTTGAGCTTATTTCGACACTCGGAGTTACTGTCCGCGTGGTTGTGTACTGGATAGTACCCCATACATTCCCTTGTAAAGTAAGACCATATTCAAACGCTTATATTTTTGCTAAAAAATCGCAGTTTGACTTCAAACTTTGCATAATTGTTGGGAATTATATGCTGTTTTNTTATTAACATATATGTCTTTCAAGTGAAGTCTTTTTTGTTATGCATTCATTCATTTTTTTATTTACTCTTGGGAATGGTTAAAAACCTTAATAGATTGATTATGAATTCAGTTTCTTTATGTAAGCCGTAGTTTGAGCAAAGATGGCTGAATCTGAAGATGAAGATTGGGAAATGTTTATCACGCCACAATGTTCTTCGCGATCGAGTCAAACTTTATCAAACTTCACGGTGGATAATCTGCATGACCTGCTTGGAGGTGATGCTCTTAACCAAATTCAACCAAATGACGAGGAAAAAGAACGAATTGAGAGTTTAGGTTTGGAGAGCCTATGAAAGCAAGCGAGGTCGCAGCTAAAATCAAGCAGTCCATTCCAAAATCGACTTTATATAAAAACGCATGGGCCATAAAGATGTTCGAAGACTGGTGTAACGAGCGAAATATAAGAATTGGCAACGAATCATCCTCCCAAGCTCTTATATCGAAAACTTTGCTAAATCATGACGAATCGAGAATTGAATAACTCCCTGTTTTCGTTTTGTTTTATTCAATTTGCCTTTTTAGAGACGAGTAGAGGACTGGTAACGAGTTACAAAAAATGGTCAACTCAAAGGTATACTTGATCAGGAGAAGAATAACAGCAAAATTAGTAAGTTTATCGACTTTGACATGCTTTTTATAAAGGAGAGCTGAACTTTAGAAATTTGAAAATGTCTATATTTATGAACAAAAGTAGGGACAACTGTCCCTACCAACCATGACCTGTTAGTTTTAAATTTTTTCAAAGTTTGCAATTCTGTTCTCCTTTAAACAAAGCATGTGAAACTTGATGGACTTACTAATTATAATGTTATTCGTTTTCTGATAAAGTTTATTTTTAAGTGGAAAGATTTTTGAAACTCGTCCCCAGTCATCTACTCTTTTCTGAAAAGGAAAATTCAAAACCCGGGACAGGTTTTGATATGAACTGATGCAAGACCTGTCCGCCCGGGTTTTGAATTCAGCCCCGCACTCCCCTGCTGATAATCAAAGCCGCCCCCGTCTTTTAGAATGCAGGTCTTACCTCGAATTTCAAAAACTACATAAAACAATAGAATTGGGACGTGACTGGTTTCTAAACTATACATAATACACGCTCGCGTCATTTTTTTTCTCGGCTTTTTTTCTCATGAATATTTGAACGCTTGTTATTTTATAAAAGCAATAAAAAACAGTTTTCCGTGTATTATACTCTGATAAAAACACGCGGGATGTGGAGAGAACACGAGAGAAGCGTAGGAAACCACGACGCGAACACGGAAAACTGTTTTTTATTCCTTAACTAGACGCTTGTAAAGCGTGATGCGGGCTAGCTTAGCAAAAGATTTTCAATATAAGATAAAATTGTATCTCCAATGAATATTGTGACTATGACGTAACTATATATGAAAGTAAAATATGCCGTAGAATACCTTAGTTTTCTTTGCAGCTCAATTCTTATCGTGCACCGCAATATTCTTTTCTGGAAACTAATCGTT